GTATCTTCTTGGCCTTGAGAAACTGGCAATTCGTTTAAATTGATGTGGGGTGGAGTCAGGCATGCCGTATAGAAAGATCCCTGGCACCTAGGTGGGGGACGGTGAGAAGGGAGATAGTCAAGGCAGGCCAAGCAGTAGCAAAGTCCCATGCAGTCCCAGTATGAGATGATGAGGTCCCGATCGATACAGTAGCACTGGGAATAAGGAGATGCTGACAGAACCACACTTTAAGGTGAGGCCCCTCTGATCTGCCACAGATACCAGGGCTCTTCCCACTGTGAATCTCCAGTAGATCGTCTAGTTCTTAGAGGAAAGAACTCCCTATTGTGTATCATTCGTTTGGCCTATGGTGCGTAGCATTCATTCACTCAAGGGGACATTATTGAGCCCTTTTCTGTGCCCAGGCCAGGCCACTCACCAAGATATGAAGGTGAATGGGATAAAATCGTTGTCCTCTAGGAGCTAGTGGGAAGGCAAGCGTGTTAGACTGGTTATAAAAATAGACCCAAGTCTTCCTGTCCGTATATGCATGCCTTTATAAAGTGACTTTGGACTTTATCTCATATGAGAAGTAACCCATTTCCCATGATTTAAACTTGAGTTGATCTTGTGATTTGCCTTAGTGTGCAGACTGTGGCATTTCCAAGTCTAACCCTAACAGGCCCGAGCACGTGCTGCTCGGGCTCTTAGGGCTTTGCTGTGCCATGAAAGACCATTGGAGCAGGGCCAAATCAGCTCCATTGTCCCAGATGAGACTGAAGCAACATAACAAAGCAGAGCCAATTCCGACCCAAATCAGCAGAACCTCTGGATGACTCGGATTCATAAGCAGTAATAAATAACTTTTATTTTATGCCCCAGCTCTTGGCTAATTTGTTATATGGTGATCACTAAATGATACAGCATATAATAAATTAATCTTTTAAAAAGCACACTGTGAAACTAACTCATCACTCAAATGTCACCGGAGTTCCATAAACAACCCCTCTCGTCCTACATCAAGCTTGAAGCAAGAAGCAGCACTGGATCTTATTCTAGGGAGATGACATTCCAGGAGACTTTTGCACTTCTGCACATTCTGCAAGCAAAGGCACCTTGTTTAGGACCATCTTTAAAAGAATGACTGTATAATGAGTAGTTTTAGAGGCTAGAAGTAGTTTCTCTCCAGAGCAGCAGGAAAGTTGGTCGGTTGTCCAACATGATGTAGTTACCATTCTGTAGGAAGAATTTCAAGCAGTTTTACTGCTCATTATAAAAGACATGGGTTCCCCAAACTAGGGTTTCCTTTCCTCTAATGAAACCCTCTGCACATGCTACTCTGTTAATTTGCTGTCTCTGGGACACCTTTGGGGATTGCAGCTTTGGGAACCAGCACAAACGCTGCCACTGGCAACTTCCATTTCCATGAGTCACGGTGTCCTTTGTGTCTCATTTGTGAGTCTCCTATCTTTTGCCAGCAACCATGACACCATGACAGACTAACTTCATAGCCTGCAAGAAGCATGAGCCTCAGATCATTCATAGTGCTTGATCTTTATCCTTCCAGAAACCATGTAATCCAACCCTACAAAGTCTTAGTGAGCATACAGTCTCACTAAAGATGCCGTGGGAAGACATAAGAGAGGGGAACATAGGACACTACACATGAAACATTTCCTCCATGCAGCCCCCAAAGCATCATGTTCAGCCATCAGCTGCCTCTTCTCCCTTTGGGCCCTTCCCCATCCATCTCCCCTTCAGCCTAGTTGCCGTGCGGACCAGCAGCTCACTCAGATCAGCGACCCCCTACTCCCAGACATTTCTAAAGCTCTTCCGTGCTTAGCAGACTCTTGGCGCAGGGTTCTCCCAGGTTTTCCAGGTCAGCCTCCCCACACCCATACCCTAACACAGCCAAAAAAAAAAAATTTTCTCATGCTTCTTAAACGGTAGTGGACAACTTACTTTGCCATAAAGATTCTAAGAAAGATACAGGTGGTGTGCCATAAGTCAGAAATATTCCTGATGGGGAGATCTAGGAAGGATTTGAAAATGGTGACACTAATCTCCAAAGGGGAAAGAGATTTTCCAAAGACAGAAGAGATGAAAAGCCCACCAGGTGAAATGGCACACAATGAGAGAGAGAGGGGACCCTCCCAGTGCAGAGGGCTGTGGTCAGCAGGTAAAAGACAAGCGCAAGGTACAATACTGGGGACGTGGGAGTTGGCAGAACAGAAGACCCATTGAAACAACCCACCTTGAAATGTACCCCACCTCTGGGGTGATGGGCACATGTGTGAGGCTCTTTAAATTCATACATAAAATATCAAAGCACAAGGGCTTGTAACTAAAGGAAACACCCACTAATCACAGTTTTCGCCAGGAACACCCTAACTGACATTTTAATTAACAAGCTGTTCTCCCCCCACTCCGTTTTTAATATAAGGACTTCTTGTTGCTTTAAATCTAAAATTAATTAAGTGAGAGTTCTCCTGTGGAGTGCAGTATATGGCTCATGCTAAACGGATGGGAGTGAGACAGTAAGATGTATGGCTGGAAGTGATGGCCTGGGCACTGAAGAATTCTTTACCTCTGTGGCTGAGGCGAGCCAAGCCAGCCATAGCCCATTTTCTCACAGAGTACCTGGGGATCCTGGATTTTTTCCAAGAAATACTACATCTGAGTCCATAGCCCAGCTAAGCCCTAGAATTATCAAAGCTTAAAATGCTGTTACAAAGCTCTACGTGATCCAGCCCCTGCTCTCTCACTCAGACTTTAGCCTCACCACACTCTGCCTTATTCCTAGCCCAGTCACACTGGTCTTCTTGCTGTATCCAAGCATGACAAGCGACTCCTTACATGAAGGTGTTTGCGCTTGCTGTTTCTTAGCCTTGGGGTGCTGGTGCAGTACACATGGGAGGGAAGCTCCCCTCTCTTGATGATTTTTCTAACCACTCTGCTTAAAATACTAATCAATCCCTCTCCCCACACAATTACCCTGATTTAGTATCTTCATAGACTTATTACTGCTTCAGATTATGTGTGACTTACAGTTCGAGCTCTGTCTCTCTCCACCACAATGGCAACTCTGAGAGGGCAGGAACTTGCACCTCCCTGGTGCATCCCCTCACTAAGACGTGGCTCATTCTCAGTAACTATTTGTTGAGGAAGGACGCCACTCCTTCTCGAATTATTCTCCTCCTTCACTTCCTTCCTCCCCTCCTCTCTCTCCTCCTTTGCCTGCCTGATTCCTGCTCATTCCTCTGCTTTCACCTTAGGATCACATTTCTTGATCCTTCTAGATTGGTCTAGGCCCCTTTGAACTCTCCCGTAGAGCATTCGTGATAACCGAGATTAATAATTGTTAGAACTGGTTGTTTAATAGCTATCTAGAATGTAGTTTCCAGGAGATGAGGAAACACTTCATAATCAGTAGCTGCTATTTTTATTTTATCATCATCATCATCATGCAGGACTTTCTGATCAAAGCAAAGAGACAGAAAAATTTCCAAGATAGCAGAAAGCCTAGCCATACTCTCCTTGTGATATGTGAAGGCGCTCGAGGACACCCTGGGCCTATGTGTTTGGTGCCAAGAGTGACATTCCTGGGAAGTGGCAGAACCTCTACGTTATGGCACCTGTGGGAGATCCTTCGATCAATTGCAGCACAACCTTAATGGGAATTGTGGGATCCCAGTCTCTTCCTCTCCCTCTCCTTTCTGCCTTCTGGACATCGGGTGAGCAGTTTCGCTCCACATTCGCTCCTTTCCTCGCTGCCTGGCCATAGGCCCAAAGCAACAGAGGCAGCCACTCATGGGCTGGAAGCTCCAAAACCAAGATCCAAAGTAACCCTTTTATCCTTATGAGTCGATTACCTGTGGTATTTGTTGTAGTACCACGAAGCCAGAGAGCACACAGGAGAGGGACCTGCGTGATCTGGGTTCAAGTCTGCAGTGCAGGAGTTCTTGGCATAAACATCGATAAGCAACATGGCACCAAGTCCTTTTATGCTGTTGACATTTGTTCCTTGAGGCAATGGGCCAGCTATGTGGCACCACATCATTTTGAATATAATATATTTTATTTATCTTTTCTTCTCTTGATGGACATTTTAGGCTGTTTCTCATTTTTTGCCGTGACAAATCATTCAGCCGTTACCCTGTCCGTCTCCTCTACCACTGGCTCTTTTCCTTTCTACTAGGTTGTTCCCACCAGCCAACAAATGCATGATAATTTTTCTCATCTTAAAAAAATAGTAATAATAATTAATAATAATAATAGTCAAATGTAATAATAACTGCAGATCTCCCCAGAGTTGCTTTTACTCAGCACCTCTACCTTGCCTTCTTATTTTCTCTCGAGCCCACTTCCCTCTGGCTCTCGCCCACCACTCCACCAAAGTACCTGCCAAATTTTCCAGGCGCCTCCATGTGGCCAAATCCAAAAGTTATTAGCACCCTACCATTTCGTCCCACGTCATGTGGAACACACGCTCATTCTTGTCTCTTCTGGAAACTCTACTCACATCTTTTCTGCTTAGTCCTTGTCCTAATAAGCCACATTTCCACTCAGCCTGCTTCTCTGATTTCTGTGATTTCTTCTCTCCCTGTGCTCCTACCCATGAAGGGTCTGGGACTTGGTCTTGAGGTCTTTTCTCTTCATCGTGTACCCTTGCTCCCCGGCCCTGCAGTTCTGAGCCCTACCCACTATGACCTCGCCCCTCAACTCCAGCCTTATGGATCCAGAGGCGTTCTTGGTATCTTTTCTTTACTATACAATGAACTTATTAGATTAATACACACAGACCCAAATCCTACCGTTACCCAGTCTCCCCCACCTTCCTAAATGGGAGGTCCAGATGTCAGGTGCTCAGGCCCCAAACCAGGGAGGAAACCTGGACTCGAGCCTTTTTTCACACTCTCCATTCAATCGTCTAGGAAATCCCAATGGCTGTACCTTCAACAGCTGCCCACCACTGATGCTGAAAACATCTCCACCAAGTCCGAGCCACCGTCATGCCTCACCTGAAGTACTGCGATGCTCCCTTTCTCATTTCCAACCTTGTCCTTCTTCCAGTCTATTTTCCACAGAGCCATCGCCACCAGAGAGACCCTTTAAAACAATTTCAGATCATGTTATTCTATTCAGAACTCTCCACGGCTTCCCATTTCATTCAGGGTAAAAGCAGAAACCCTTACAGGACTGACAGGGTTCTGCATGAGATGGGCTCCCTGGCCTTGTCGCTAATGTCATCTCCCCCATGCTAACTCTTCCTACTTTGGCCACACGGACCTATCAGTCATTTCTCAAACTCGCCAGCCCCCTCTCACCCCAGGGCCTTTGCACTGGCTAGTCCTTGTGTTCAAAATCCTCCTTTCCCTCTCTCAGACAAAGCTTCTTGTTTCACTATTCCCACATGTCTCTTTATAAGAAAGGGCTTTCTTATCCATATTAGTCAATTCAGGTGGCCATAACAAAAATTCTATATACTGAGCATCTTAATTTTTTAAAAAAAACACTGATCTAATATAGAACTGCAAGTTCAAGATCAGGATGCCAGTGTGGCCAGGTCCTTATTAAGAGTAGTCTTCCAGGGCAGAGGATTTAGCTCAGTGGTTTCAGCCCCTGCCTTGCAAGCACAAGGACCTGAATTTGATCCCTGGTACAAAAAAAAAAGAGTCCTCTTTCATGGGCTGGGGATTTAGCTCAGTGCCACCACATCTGCCTTGCAAGAGCAAGGTCCTGAGTTCGATGCCCAGTACCAAACAAACAAACAAACAAAGTCCTCTTCCTGGTTTCTTCACATGGCAGAGACAGAATGAGTTCAAGTTTCCTTGTCCCCTTGTAAGAATGTTAATCCCATTGTGGGGGTTCTAGCCTTGATCTCATACAAGCTTAATTACCTCCCAAAGGTTCCACCTTCAATACCATCACCTTGGGGACTAAGACTTTAACACGAATTTGCTTTCAGTCCTTTGCACTGCCCTGAAAACCACTTCCTCTGTGTTCCTTGTCTACCTTATTTCACTTTCCTCCACAACACGTGTCACCACCTGACACTCCTTGTTTATTTATTCGTTGATCATTACCTGTCTCTTCAAGTAGAAGGTAGGCTGTGTGAAGGAAGGGGCTGAGGTGAATTTTGTTTATGGCTCTCTTCTTCTCTGGAGATCACACTGCAGGTGCATGATAAATATCTGCTGGCGAGTTGACACCTGCATGTAATCTTTGTGCACACGTGGGTTTCTGCGGGTCAGACACAAGGAAAAGTCCTGATCCTTGACAGTATGTTTCCATTTGCATTACTGTTCAAAGTGGCCAAGACATGAGTTTCCTACCTTCCAAGATCCTCTCCAAAACTTTAAATTATTGCTTAATTAAGGTGAGCATAGCATTGTGTTTTTTACATTGTGCACCCTGGAATATTAATGAGGTTGCACATCTTTCATTGTTTCTTAGGCCTTGTTTCCCATCTTTGCATCCCGTTACACTTGGGTTGGCCTCTCTGGGCATTACTGCTTTCTGACATATTGGAGAAAACTGGTTGATACGCTCTCCAGGTCCATTCCAGCTCCAGGGGCCTTTGGTGCCATCCACTGACAGTTCTTTATTGAGTAGCCCTGTAAACCAGGCCATCTGCTAGGCACCGAGGGTGTGTCTGCAAAGAAGTGAGATAAAGTCTTGCTTTAATATAGTTTGTATTCTAGGAAAGCAAGTTGTAAAATAACCAAGAACACAAACAAGGAAATGATACAAATTCAGACTACGCTTGGTGCCATAAAGAAGAGAGACAGGGTGGGAGGGATTGTTGCAAAAAGCTTTTCTGAGAAGGTGGTATTTGAGCTGGCAGCTGAATGATGAGATGGAGCCAGCAATGGATAGATCTAGGGAAACATATTCCAAGCCAAAGGGACAGCAAGCAGAGAGGTCCCAAAACCAGCTTAGCAATTTTCAGGAAAAGAGAAAATGCTGAGGAGACTGGACTGAAGCTGGACATCAAACACTGACACGGGAGAGAGACACTGTCTTAGTTACTTTTCTCTTTGCTGAGACAAAATACCCAACACCCAAAGTTAATGGGGGCAAGGTTTATTTCAGCTTAGAGATTGTAGAGGTTTTGGTCCATAGTTGGCTGGCTCCAAGGCAGGTGGCATGGCAGAGGGCATCACAGAGCAGAAGCAGTTCATGGTGGGCAGGAGGCAGTAAGGCAGCAAACCAGCAAAGTAGTGAGGAAGCATCAGCAATCGCTTGCCTCTCCCTTTTATCCCTTCTGGACTACCCACCCTTTGGGTGGTACCACCTACACCCAGGATGGGCCTTCCTATTATCCACATCCAAAACTATGCCAAACAGATCAGTAGCCTAATTTCATGATTACACACACTTGATCCCAGCATCACACACTTAATCCCAGGACTTCACACCCTAGATCCAGCCACTTCTGAAAATCCCCACCTACAACCACATGAAGCTTTGGTGGGGGGACATTTAGACACAAGCCATAACAGATATCAATAATGATGGTTGCTGGGACCAAGAGGGACACTAATGCTGTAGCAGAAATTAGAGAAGAGAGGCATGCACCAGATAGGAAGGGAGGGAAGGCCAGAGTGGAAAGCCTTGTTTCTTCGGAGAGGTTGCAGGAAGTGCAAGGTGAGGAAGGACCAAGGCCGATACAGGGAGCCAGGTTAGGAGGCTGGAGTAGACATCTGGCATTTCTATGACTGCTCAACCTCTGGAAGCTCTCCTTGGGTTTGGAGGCCCATCATCATGGGAGTTATCTGGGAGGTGGGGCCTGTTCTTTATGCCAGAAACTAAAATGATAAGTACTTGCCATCCTTAACCCCTGTAGGTGGAGCAGGAAATGAGCTTTGACTAGCTGTGCCTGCTTGGGATTTGGATCTGAAGATGGGAACCAGAACAACTGGGGACATTCAGAAGTCACTATAAAGAGAGAGCATTCAGCATGGCCATCAAAGACAGTGCTGTTCTCTTCTAACACAGGTTATGGCCTGGGGGGACATAAGGATGTTGGGGAAAGTATAGGTGCCATCCAAAGGGGCAACCATGGCTCAACCCCAGCCACGATGGCCAGACTGGCAAGAGAGTCTCATGTGGCCAGATTTTCAAATTGCCCAAAAGAAGCTGGAAAGTCAAATTTTTTTATGTAAAATCTCCTAGTTTTTATGCTGATTACAAATTCAAATTGGAGCAGAGAGGTCACACGTAACTTGCCAGTCATAAGTTTATAACTTCCTTCCTTGTGTGTTATTCTTGTGAGATAAGGAAATCCTTCATTGTATCTAACAAGGTGAAAAGGGAGCGTTTTAGCAGAAGGCTGGGCAACAGCCCAATGAAGCTAGAAGCTTCTTGGCCAAAATAAAGCATCAAGGGGCCGGGGATTTAGCTCAGTGGTTCCACTGCCTGCCTCAAAAGCTCAAGGTCCCAAGTTTGATCACCGGTACCAAAAAAGATTAAGATAAAATAAAGCTTTAAGCTTCCATTCCTAAAGCACAGAATTCCAAAGGCAAAGGCTGAGCTGAATCAAGGGGAAAGTAAGGTTTGTCCTCCAAAGTAATGTAGTTGTAGCTGGAATAGAAAAGGCTGTAGGTAAAGAAGTGGAACAAATACCCAGAGATATCACTGTCATCTGTGGGTAATCACGACCATTCCAAGAGCATTGTGGTTTCTCTGGACAGAAAGGGTAGCATCGAGCAGAGTGAGAAGCAATGGTCTAAGAAGTCTGGGTTCCAATGCAGCAAAAAAGCCAAGGCCTGTTGTCAGCCCTCCCTGGGCCTCACTTCCCACTGCACCATGACTAGGTGGGACTAGATGAGCTCTAAGAGCACATCCCACTCTGCGGTCCTATGTTGCTAGAACAGTGGGAGGAGGAGAATCCTCCTGGGAGATGTTCCATGGGGTGGCTGGAGAAGCATGCTGAGACCTCCCTCCACCATACATGAGCAATCATTTCTGGAATAACTTCAGATTCAAGCAGCTTTTGTAAACTGCCCCATTTAAATTAAAACAAATCAATATGCTTTCTAAAATTTAGTCTCAGCTAAACAGCTGTGACAGTTCATAGCAACCTGAACTTGAAATGAACCCACCCTACGTATAAATAAAGCCTTTGATGTCTTCATTAGTTTCTCACATGCCATTTTTTCACAGTCTATCAGGCTAAGTGCTTTGCAACTTATATATATTTTTGCAGGAGGAGTATTTAACCTTCTGATTAGTCACTGCAAGCAGCACAATGACAGAAACCCTGATTTTGCACACAATGAATTTATTGATAGATTTAGCCCATTAGCTGTATTTACCTGTCAGTTCTATGGACACTAATGAGTTGTTTTTCAAGGACTAATGAGAACTGTAATGGCTAATGGATGTTTACAGCCTCACTGCGCCGCACCATGTGATGCCTGAGCACCCGCTCCCATCCCTCCGAGTCTTTAATTGGCACCATCAGAGGACTCTTTAATTACATTTAAGCAGACAATAAAGATACTGGCCAAATCAATGGGAGGGAGACAGCAGGATGCTGCAGGAGGCTGGTCACTCCAATGGGCACCAGCCCAATGCTCCAAGCAGCAGTATGACTTGTCCATGACACTCTTTAGCGGGAGGAAGTGTTGAAGAATGCCCAGGTAAAACATTTCTCTACAGATCTTCCTACCAGTTCACCCATAGATTTGGAACAGGGCTGGCTGTTGTGTCTGGCCAGGAGAGTATTATCCACAAAGTAAGGACCCTCCGGGCTTTGAAACAGAGAGTACGAGTACCCTTGGACCCTTAGATTTATATGTTTTGTTCATGAAGAACGTACCTTCTTATGTGTTATATCCAAAGATTGGGCTATGGTTAAGGTCAATAATAACCAGATAATATTATTAGCAGGGAGGATTGACTTATGGTAAATCTACAGAAAAAGACCCCAATCTTTACAATATTTATTCATCTATTCATGCATGTATCCATTTAGTCAGCATTTATCAAGTATCCACTGAAAATAAAATACATCAAAAATGGCAGAAACATAGGTAGGCAAATAAAGGGACAGAACACCTCACTTTACAGAATGTTTCTAAGGGACTGAACCTCACAACTATGTTCCTCTCACTTGCACAGAAAGCCAGTGCAGAAATCATGTTTCTATGTCAAGGCCCCATACCTGCTGGATCTACCACTAGGCATTGCTGATCAGAGTCAATGTGGCGGATGACTTTCCGTTAGGTGGAACTATTGTTGATCAGTTTGTTATACTTACAGCAGAGATCAGCTTGGCTGACTAATCAAATACTCCCTCTGAGCAGGCAGGTGAGAATAGGGAGGGGCCTGATGATTCTTCATGATAGGCACAGTCTCTGGGAATGTGGAGCCTGGATAAGAGTGAACTGATGATGTGGCAGCTGGAGCGGAGTATGCTACTGAGAGGACTTTCTTGTAACCTAATGGGATCGCACAAGATCACTGGACATAGGCTCGGGGGCAGCAGCTCTTTGAAAACCAATCTGCCTGTGAGTGAATCTGCCACTGGCTATACACTCCTACCAGCCTTGGCCTTTCTTAGCCTTCTAGCCATTCCTGAGAAAGAAGCTTAACCTTTCTTGGTGCTTCCTATGGGCCATGAATGCAGCCATTCTGGTGATGAGGGTGCTGCTAGATAAATTAGAAGAGCAGTTTCCATAGCGAAGTGGGGGTGGAAGCCAGATTGTACAAGGATTGAGGAAGGAGTGGGTGGTGAGGAAGTGGCAGCAGTGACAAGTGAGTGATGCAGATAGATAGAGCAGTCACTCAAGGGGGTCAGGGGGACCTGAGCACGTTTATGAGTTTCTAGGAAGATGTCAACCAAAAAAGAAAAGATAGGAAATGCAAAAAGGGGAGGTGACTGATGGAGTAAGTCTCAGAGGTATCAGGAGTGGGGTGAGAATAGAATGACAAAGAGGAGGGATGCGCCTCAAACAAGAGAGGAGTTCTACCTCCAATAGTGAAGCGGGGACCGATTAAGATGCTCAGCATTTTTGACATAAAGATGAAGGAAATTAACAGCTTTAGGCTTTCCATAGTTTGTCCTCTGAGAAGACCAGGAGACCTCACTTGTGTTAGCCTAGAGTCTGGAAAGAGTGGAGAAGGTTTGGAGCAACCACTCCAGGTCTTCCAATCAGGAGCCACTCCGAATAAAAAGATTGGAGGGAGCCCTGACCTGGGCTTCCTGGTAACTATCTTTAGAAGACTCAATCAGTAAGGCCATCCGGTTCTGCCCAAAGAGAAAAGTATACAGTTGAATAGTTTTCCCAGAGTTCAGGGTTAGCACAGAGCTGCAGGTAGTCAAGGGCAGAGGAGGCTTGAAGGTAGTGAGACCTTGACGCTGAGGTCGAGACTGGCAGTCTAAAGGCAGAGGACAAATGAAGAGAACCGAGGGAAATGTCTGTGGAGTTTCAAGACTGACCTCAGGCCAGCTCGGGGATTGCAAATAGGTCCTTTTCCCATCATGGTGTCTTCTCATTCTTGAAGGGCACAAGCATATTTTTCCTTTCCAGTACCAGACAGGGGTCAGACTTAGTTGTGCTACCTCACTAGGCCCAACATCTGGTATTCTGGAAGTGACTTATTTGTGTTGCCAAGTTATGGCTTTCCTTCAAGGCATAGCAGGGC